ACACACACACACACACACACACACACACACACACACACACACACACACACACACACACACACCTCAAGGTTACAAGCAACCAAGCTCTGTGCAGCAAATGAAATACTCAAGGAAGACATAAGTCTCATTAAGACCCATAAAGGACATCCCTAATAAAATCCTCAGCCTGACATGCAAGAGCTCTCCAGTGATGGCTGATTAATTGCYGGTGCAAATGAAAGCATGAGAGAGAGCCTGGGCTCTGTGGCTGTAATTTATCCTCTCCTGTCCTGTCTTGTCCTCGTGGCTGGGGGAGATGGCCCAGGGAGACAGGAGATGGAGAGTGGGTGGCTGCTCGGGAGGAGGTGGGGTGGGGGAGGGTGCAAGGTACCAACCTGATATTATGTGGAGGAAAACATGTTTAGGTGGCCGGTGGGATCATTTGTTTCGATTGTCTCACTTATAACAAGCCGTGTGAGTTGASATCTGGGTGTTTGAACAGGGGATAGGAGGAAAAATAGAAATTCCCGAGCAGGTCAGTCTGATAATAATGACAACATGGTCTCTGAAGAAATATGGCATGATGACCTAAAATATATATCCTGAGCAGTCATACATCACAAGTAAAGACTGGGCTACTTTGCAGCTGCTTGCTCCGTAATCCATCAGTGATGAAAATCAGCGCTGATGCAGTCAGGATATACATTTCTACATTTCATCATGGCCTTTTGTCAGATCTGTGTTCATGATTTATAGAGCAGCTCCGATGCCAGTAGAGCACACTTGTCAAACATTTGGATAATGAGTGAGTGATTATTTCCATAAAAGACTTTGATGCTTTGCCTTTGATCATGCCCGAATGGGACTAAAGTGGATTAATCAGTGAGGAGAATGCTTTAAGAACAGCCGGTGATGTATGGGCCTACTCCACCCAAGGTCACAAGGCAGACACGGGGGTCCAAGGACAATCTGAGCCAGGATAATGCCCAGCTGAGACCTGACACACCTGCCCCCTCACGGGYTGCGCTGCGTTCAAGGTACGGCGACGAAAGCATAAGAAAGGGAGGAAAAATGAGCAGGAGAAAACAACAATTGCTTCCAGATATTTTTAATGAGTTGGAGATCCTGCCGTCCTATAAGTAGTTTATCATATAAATTATATATCCTCACCTGGATGGATGAGAAACTATTTACAATGTGGCATCGCACAGCTCTTTAGTGTTACTGCTGGCGTTTCATTTCTTTCCCCTCTATTAGAAGCTGGAAACAAACCTTTCCTTTTTTATTTTTTACAAGACAAATGTGATTTCTTTACCAGCTCAACTAAAAAAAAAAATCCAACTATAAGGCTTACTCTCCCTCTATGTCATGACGACAAAGTTTAATGTGAACAGTTTAATCYGAAGAACATTTAGCTGTGTAACGATTCAAACGTTTTAAATATCCAGTCAACTASAATTTATGTTTTAATTTCTCCCACTTTACGAATTCCCAATATTGAAACACAGCTAAATCAAAATGTGATTTGTAAGTCTCAGCTAAAAAACACATCAAAGTTTAGCACATAAAGCCAATCTTTACATCTTGGTTCATTTTCATTTTATCAAAAAACCATACCAGTTAGGATAAAAATACAATAAAATACAGCTTCCTAACTTAGTTTGGTACCCCTTTACAGTAAGGCTCCCCTTATACATGGCTTATAAATAGTTTATAGATAGGTTATTAATTCATTTGTAAACACTTTATAAATCATTAATAAGTGTTTATTATTCATTAATTAAGGACATGAAAGAGACAAAACTGTCTGATTTTTTGCCAAATAGTGAGCCAAATCTGTTCATGTATATATTACATCTAAAGGTGCTTCATTAAACATTTCAAACTAGGTTACTACCTTGTTAGCACAATAATTTCTTGAAAACACATATTTTACATATAATATTGTACTGTATTACCGCATTATACATATCCACAGTAATCAAAGGGAGCCTTATTGTAAAGTGTTGAACAGTATAATAATAATAATGTAATAACAGAGCCTTATAAATAGCCTTATAAATAGTGTACTGTTTTACACTTTACAATAAGGCTCCTTTATGGCATTTATACAAGTTTATTAGTCATTAATAAACAG